TTTGTAAGGGAAAAAAGGAAAAAAAGGATGCCAAGCAGGCCAGTAACGTTGCTTATTTACATCAAGTTGGCATTGAGTCCTTTATTAGCTTAAAGCGGGTCAAGAGGATCGGAAGAAATGATACAAGGATCCTTTACTTGCCTCCTAGCTGTAACGTCGCTCAACTCATATGCGCGCTGGACCTGATTCGTGGAGGAGGTCAGAAGGTAGTTGAGTATTCAGTAAGACGGCAGCAGTTTCACAGGTAAGGAGTTTGTCTACAGACTGAGAAAAAGCACGGTGATGCGTGATGCTTCGCAGCTGCTCAAGAAGGCTGTTCCAGATGCGAACGCAATAAACTAGAAAAAAGTAGTGACGTAGGTTTGTGCGAGCTGAGGGGCACACTAAGAGATTGCGGGAGTTGCGGAGTGTGTGGCGAGGTTGTGAGTTTATGCCTGGTCTAGCGTCTGCTATAAAGGCGTTCTTATGCAGCAAACGGTGCAAGAGAGCTAGATTCAATTTTAACCGTAGTAGTAGTTCGAGGCCAAGGATTTGACGGCGGTTGCGGTAAGAGAGGGGGTTTGACCGAGGAGAGTTTTTTCGTAGATGACCGTTGGACGCTTTCAATTGCGAGTCTGCAACTATGGGTGTAGAGGGAGGAGAACGCGGGACAGAATTCCTTGATTGGTGGTGCGCAGAGCTTAAAGATTGCAACCATCGTGTCTGGAAGGTGGCAAGAGCGCGGTATTAAAAAACTGAGCCTGCGCGCTCTTGCCACCTGAAATTGCACCTGATGGGAAAAGCTAAAAGTACAGGAGTATCTGAGGAAGAGTTCTTTCATCTCTGCAAAATGAGTAGCAGGATTTTCATTAATTGTGAAAGCATCAGCCGGGAGAGAGCAGTGGCAGGAAGTTATACAGGATTTTGTGGAGGAGAAGCTTAGGCCAGAGTCGTTTGACCAGTGAGTCAGTGAATCTAGGTCTTGCTTAATCTGGTGAAAAGCAAGGGTTTTGCAGAGGTGGGGAATGTGTACGCGATTTTTATATCGTCCGCAAAGAGGAAGGCCTTACCGTGGGATATGTCGCCGAAGACGTCATTGATGTAAAGTAAGAAAAGGATGGGGCCCAGCACGCTTCCTTGGATGACTCCGCTATTGATCGGTAGTGGAAATGATTGTATGTCTCCGATTTGTGTTATTTGCCTCCTGTCTGATAAATAGGAGGCGAACCACTGAAATAAGGTTCCCGTGATGCCAACGGTGCTAAGTTTGTGTAGCAGGGAGCCTTGGGGGACCTGGTCGAAGGCTTTTTGGATGTCCAGATAGACTGTTAAAATGAAGTATCTAACGTCATATGCTGCTGTGACGGTCTCAAAGAGGTGAAGCTGGCAGCCATTTACGGATCTTCGAGATAGAAATCTGTACTGTCGATCATCTATGGCATTTGTAGCTACGAGAAACCTGATTAACGGGTCTTTTATCAGACGTTCGAAGGTTCGCATTAAAAGAGGGTTATGGTGGATCCCTCTGTAATTGGAAGAAGTTTTCCTGGATCCGGATTTAAAATGGGGCGAACAACAGATTTTTTCTATTGAGAGGGGACGATTTCAGAGTTGATTGAGTGAGTAAAATGATTTAGGACAAGGGTTTTGGCATCTTGACCGCCATATCTCGGGACACGCGATGGTATGCCGTCGCCTCTCGGCACGGCGGAGTCTCTGAGGGTTTGAAGAAACGCAGATACATCAGCTAGGGAGATATTCAAGCTGATCAGAGACGGACGGTTACTCTGTTGTAGGGAGGTGGAATATGAGGCGCGGCTTGTAGGATTGAATTTGGGAGAAGGAGGTAAATAGCACCTGGCAAAGTAAGCATTCAAGTGGTCGGCTATATTGACAGGATGAGTGATGAAACTACCGTCGGTGGAGCTCAGACAAGTGACTTGGTGACAGTTTGGGGTACAGCGCCTACGAAATAGGCGGCCGAGTAATTTACAGCTAGAAGGGCCTCTGAGAGCGGTGCTCTCTTCTCGGCATTCAAGGGACACCCGTAAGGACTCTCGGTCAGTTAAGAGCTTGTTGATGAGGAGTATTAATGAGAAATCCCGAGATCTCCGATATTCTCTGCCTGCTCGGCGTATTTTATTGTCCAAGGCTTTCAACAGCTCATCACGTCGAGAGATACCAGGGTAAAAACTCTTACCAGGACACGCTCTTAATGAGAGAGGCAAGGTAGAGAGAGGTCAATGGGTTTTGGTAGAAGATATCACAAATCGGTTGTGTGTGTACGACGAGAGAAAGAAGTCGTTCCAGTCCTGGGAGGCCAGCAGGGATGAAGAAGCCAGCAAAATGTCCGGAATCAGGAAGTGAAAGAAAGATGGACTCGGGGGAACAGCTTCGCTAAACCTGACTGCGTTACATGAATCGACGCAGTGATCGCTACCTGGAAAGCATGGACCAACTGCAGTCGTAGCAAAATGACTCTCATTGAGAATATTAGATCTAAGGTGTGTTGTCCACGAGTGGAGTTGCGTACAGTCTGAGACCAACCCTCTACACTAAGTTGGGCAAGCAGTGAGGCGTAACGTCTGGGGCCCATAGTGGGAGACCAGGAAATATCCGGTAGGTTGTATTCACCCAGCACGTGTTTAGATGAATGAGGAAGGGCGTGCGCAGTGGAGATAATACGGGATAGGTCAGTTATAGTAGCGAGGGAGGGGGAAGCTGTTGCTTTTTACATATCCACTATCACTGTTCACATTAACCCCTCTGTGTGCACAACAAGGACCCTATGTCATGATGCTTTAATAAGCCAAAAACTACCGCGCGTTCTCAACTGGTCAAACAGCCAGCCTCCCTGCGAGCTACCTCGACGACAAAGTTTTCACCTTCCCAAAACTAGGCACCTAAACTGGCCCAACTGGTATTTGGCTTCTAGATCAGCAAACGTATTCAACTTTCTCGGGCCCATTTTGTTGCTTTTAGATTTTTTCCTTTTGAGGCCATTGTATCTTGTCGCTTCTAACATTCGCCACGCACCATTGCTTTCATTATATTTCCCTCTTGTTGCCCCTCTACCCAAGCTTCAAACACAGACTGCATTGGCCCAAACGCCCCGTAGAACTGTTATTCATTCACTCTGGCTGGTTCCCGGTCTGCACTCACACGGCCCTCCAACGAAAGAGAAATTATCCGTAAGCCTAAATCTGCATGACTCTGTGTCAACCTCCGTCTCACCCGGAACCGACAGCCACGGCACTGCTTGCCCCTTCTCCGATCGCGGCACCCTTGACGACCGTTACGAGGCTGTCCATAAACCGAAGCATGTCAGTATGATGATGGCATGGTACAGTCATACCCAGTGAGATGGCACTCCCGCAACTAGTTTCTCCAGAATCTCGACCGCAATTCCTCGCTCACTCAAACCTGCAGTTACAACTACCAGCAAATTTTTCATCCGGCCCCGTCTCTGGAGTGAGCTCTTCCGTGCTCGATTAATTTTCGCCTAAAGATGTATAGCCTGGTTTCCCCGCTGCAATTTCGGCTTGCCTCCTCCACGAGCTCAAATCCGTAAATGGCGTTTGGTTTGCCCCATGTACTAGAAACTTGCCCCATTCAACCTCTCCCCTGCACCTGATTTCCCTGCAACAGTGCAACTAGCGAGGATGCTTAGTTTAAAATTAAACCACATGTTCGGGACAAAACTCGCAATGAGCTCCCAATTTGAATTATCGCATCTCCATCTCCATTTTTGCTCGTTGTGGCTCCGGCCATTTACCTAACCGCCCAAGGTCACTCATGGCCAGCAATGGTTTTCAGCTTTAGTTCATGCCAGCTGGCTGTGCCTTTGAACTAAACAGACCTCACGCCCAATTGTTCCCAACAAATTGGGAAAGAAACCTATTATTCTCATTTCATCGGATATTCCCCACTGTTTATGACTGTCTTCTTTTTGTGCAATCCGCGCCCCCATAAACCCCTCAGTCATGCTTCATTCTGACTGTAAAACTATGGTCATGCCAGACGGTTTGCCGCCCGCAAGTTTGGAATAAACATTATTATTATGGTATACAGTGAAGCTGTTTGGATTTACTGGTGTCGCTGTTGTCGATCCAGGCATAATAGCCCCTTGAAAGTGTGAGATGGTGATGACCGACGGACAGGGAGGCAAACCGTGTAGAAAATTATCCGTTTTTCGGGAAGCACAAACACACTAAAATTGTTAAATTCGAACGAAATTTCAATCAGATTGGAATGAACATGTAATGGAATATTGCGCACTAATATACATAGAGAAACTTTATGTCTACCGCAATTGGGGTGATGAAACCAAGTGATTATATTACATAGCCTAGGGATGGATGTGTACTTAGTGGACTTGCGACCAAGCAAGGGTTGGGTTTGCGAACACACGACATCAAAGTGCAAGAGATTTAGTGCAAACCGATATAAGCTTTCAGAATGGTATTGTGATTGGTGCAATCAAATGCATAAGGACTGATGGGAGTGAACTTTAGAGATGATGGATCAGCCAATCTGGTGTTTATTAGGCTATTTGGACAGTACTGGGAGAGAAATTGAGTGCAAGAGAAATAGTGACCAGTCCCTGAAGCGCTGCTATCAGCTTCAAGGTAACAAGTTGTGCATGACGAACATAAAGAGTTTGGGCACTACTTGCATGCTGGTAGCGAAGGGTTAGGAACCTCTGTATACATTTAATTCCCATTGTATATGTTCACTCTTGAAAGCGGTAGGTAGATGCGTGTGTCCTTCTTGGTTGGCTAAGTGGGCGTTATTGCGGTACGACCCCAATTTGACAAGGACGGCTACAGCTCCGTACATCGATATAAGCCATGGACATCATAGTTTTCAGGCTATCCAATCTGTTTTTTTAAGAATTTCTTTTTTAGCAGACGGGAGTTCAGTTTTTTCTTTTTTTCGTCACCCGTAGCTAATAGCGTTGCCAGTTAAACGAAATAGCCGAGAGGACTCCATCCCGACAGCAACAAAAACAGTGGTCTTTTATGGATTTCCCGAACAAAAGGCCATGCTCAGAACCACCGGCTATGGGCGAAGCATCCGTGCTACTGGAGAGGGGGTATTCAAATGCATCATGGTGCAACGCAACCGAGCGAACCCCCCTTCAGGAACTACCGACCACCATGCGGGGTTTTCACCCCTCGTACATGCTACCGAATCTGCAATGTGACATGCCGCCGAGCAGCCAAAACTGTGGTTTGTGATCTTGCGGCTACCGAATTTTAACCGACTGGGCTATAAGGATACCAGCAGTTTTGTGGTAAAGCAACTTTAAGCGATTTCTGTTCATAAATAAATGCAACTACGCGTCAAGATGGAAGAATTTATTACGGTCATCACAAATCGATGCTGGTGACGTAATTTGGAGTAGATTTTCCACCAGTGATCTGTCTCATCTTCGTATGATCAACGAACACAGGTTTCCAACGATGACAGGCGGTGGACTGCCGCTTCCAAGTAATGTTGCCAGGACCTGTGTTGTTTGAAAGGCACCGTTTTAAGACTCAGCATTAGCCAAGTCAACTCCCTCCCGGTAGGTGTGACATTATACCCAACAGCAGAGGTCTAACGCCTCATCCATAAAGCAAAATTGGCAATAACCAACATCGCAACAAGCAACGACCAGTAAGTTGAATTACTGTCCTGCCAGGAAAACCAATATATCCTGAAAAGCCGAGATCTGTACAAATGTTTCTTCTTCATAGGAATCATCAGCATTGCACATCTTGTACAAATCATGGAATTTTGATCCCACGTCAATTTGGCCACCATTCCTAACTGTTCTGCCACAAGCAACCAAGCAGCATTGCGATTAGTTCTTACATGACAGTAGTGAACCCGAATCCCCTGAGACTACCAAAAGTGGTCATTTGATTTGTATCACTCGTTTAACTTTGGAAAAATATTCCAAGTAGATCACAAATACCCTGAGTGATGCTACAATATTTATTAACCTCCCTCCAGAAGGGGTTTCTACCACTACGGCATCTCCATTCATATCCGATTAGCGTTCCAACAGGGCTTCAAAAATACCCTTCATCTTGTCGCATTTCAAGCTAGCGGATGTGTCATATAATTATTCATACACGAGTGCAGCTAAGGCACCTGAAAACTGCAAATTATATCGATTTGATTATCAAGTTTTGAAGGTCGAAAAACTGGAATTCTAAAATAGAAAGAAATTTTGTGGGCAAATGCGATTTTGTTCCTTTCCGGAAAATCACTTCGCTTGTTGAAATATCACTCAGCGTCAGCGCAAAGACCAGAGAGAGGTTCCAATGCACATATCAGCTTTCGGTTATCTTTCATTCTGCCCTAAATATGATCACTTGTGTGTGCATGGAAGCCATGGCGGTAGCCACTCTAAATTCCAGGGACGGAATAATCTGGGTGTCGCACGCTTTCACGTTGCATTTCTCGGGCACCACATCATCGTAGCTCGTTTGTATTTGACTCATGATGACAACACCAGTTTGGGGACGCTGAAGGAGCATCCAGGTTATCTGGGCTCCTTCCGGATATGTTGCTGTAATGAATTTTCTGAGACTCACTTGGAACAATTTGGTGTATGAATCTGCATCATCCAGCTGATTGACTGAAGGTGGAGGGTTCTGAGGAAAAGGAACTGGTCTCCAGTTGCATGAAGTCAGTTAAACAAAACTGATGGCTGCTGATCAAATTCCCTACTGGTGAAAAATGTTTGTGGATGCTGTTTACTGCACCAACCAATGTCGTCCATGCCTTCATGGTTCACGGTAGCTGTTACTTAATATTCTGAAACCGTTTGCACAATCACAAACGATGGTAACGTCAATTTTGTGGCGATCCTGCTTAACCTGTTAGCTACTTTTTGTAACGGCGACAACCGCTTGAAGGACAGGGTTAGTCGCTTTTTTCAGTGGGGCAGTTTTCAGTGATATTAGTCTCTGGATTGGTAGCCGACGACACGAGCGTCGGAAGGACCCAAAAAACCCCGCCTTCAAGGAGCACTCAATGAAATTCTCGTATATGTAGGTGCTCTTTGTTGGGGATATCAATATCCCCCAGAAAACGCTGTGTTTTTATGTGTGCTAGAGAACTCCCGGCATCTTCAAGGTCAAACTATGAAAAATCAATGGCCTATTGATACTCCAAGGAAATTTAAATCCGACCACGTTCAGGATACCATTCTTCCCACTGACTTGGGTTCAGGAGCTCCGGGCATCGCCTGTTGATCGCGTGTTGTTGGATTATTAAAGTCTGTGTCCGAGGTTTTCGTCTTCATACTATTCGCCGTGCTAGGAGTCTGGATCAAGCAACATAGCCGGGGATAGAGTATTGCCACAATCCGCATTATCGTATTGTTTGCTCGTTGCATGACAAAACCGTAACACTCTTTTCCATCTTGTTATCGTTTGCGAAGAAGTTTAAGACAGCCACGACATTGCTATGTTAACCTGGAAAGAAACTGGGAAGAGGCATATGCACGTAATCATAAAACGTTTAGCGCGTCCGAGCGCATCATATGCTTCCTTAATGAGGGCCAAGAATACATTCAAAGCCCTTTTTCACTAAAGTGAGCCTTCTTGTGGGCGGCCTACGCTTAAGAAAGACTTTGACTGTGCTCTGGAAAAAGGCCGCGTCTCCTCGGTGACAGATAGTAATGAAACTTCTACATCATATATTGCTCATTGTTTACGACCTTGTCATTTCTTCGCACAATTCCGAGTACACGCACGTTTCTCCAGCCGTACTTTTCCTGACCATAGCCGTATGATCCTGCTCAACGTTACGCCACCACTAGTTGAGAATCTACATTATTATTACTACATAATGGAGGCCATGATACTACAAGCATTGTGACGTACCTGTTTTTGCTCTCCGTTGACTCAACATTACGCGACCTATTCCGGTATTTTGATGTGCTTCAGTTGTGCAGCACAGGTTGAGCACGGACTTCAGGGTTGACGGATCAAGTGGTTCTCCCTCGCGTGGCAACATAGCTGTTTCAGGATGATGGCCTGAATTCCGTCAGCTGAATACTTGGAATGGATTTGAACTGATGGCTCTTTTTGGGTAGGCGCCTAAGTTAATTTTGCCGACTGCTAGTGGCTTGGCAATTTGCTGGTGATTCTTTCGGACTTGGTTAGGCAATTTGCAATAAACATTTTAGTTGGATTTTATTCATGTTCGGTGATCGCAGGCTGAACAGACACCATGGTCGCCCCCATCAAAGTGCATGCCACCTGAGGGTCGTCTACCGTTGGCTACCTAATGCCTCGTTCGATATTTGCAGAATGGTTTCAACTCTATTAGACCCGCCCATGAGGGTTGAACTGAAGTTTTGCACATCGTACAGGTCGTCGACATTTTCACATTAGGTGTGACTGCAGTTTTGTCACATCTGACGCTGGATGGTCCCGGAATTTACAACCACTGTCTGCCCGTATCCTATTCACCCGGACGGTCATTGATGTCAATGATAGAGAGTATCTTTGGCAAGGGATCTGACGGTGTAGTCGTATGAAATTACTGAGTATCGTATTAGATGCCATAAGTGTTAACATAATCGGAACATCGATCCAATTTATCGAGACGCCATGGAACACCGTGAGTGTTCCACTAAGTATTGATCCGCACAAACAACAACCGTGGTCCTTTGAGATCTCTTCTCTTTCTTGAGCTAATATGCGAAATCATGCATACAAACAAGGTTGCACGCAAAACTACACATGCAAATAACTGGAAGATCTAAACAAGAGGAAACTCCAAGCGAAGGAATTGCAAAACAAGGGAAGTTTCATGTTAGATTTAGTTCTTCTTTTCGGAGGGAACATTTGGATTGAAAGGTTTGACAAACACTTCTTCGGCGCCGATCTTTATTTGAGTCGCTCAGTTGTCTAATCAGGACGAACAAAAGACATCACACTCAGTGAGCGTGTCCAACGAGCTGCTACGAAAACTGTTGCCTGCCGGCAATCCGTGGACCACGAAACGCGTCCCGCGGTGCTTGACCTATTTTCCCTAGAGTATCGTCGCCTCCGAGGGAACCTAATTCCTAATTGTGCCCTGTTTGAACAAAGCTTGGCAAGCAGGTTTTCACCATTAACCCAGCAAACACACGGCGGGGACATGGTAAGAAGATTTTCAAGCTCAGAGCGCACATACTTATTAGACAATTTTTTCTCATTTTGGGTAGTAGCTGCGTGGAATGACCTCCCTCCGACGGTTGTCCACGCTCCATCTAGAACCCAGTTCAAAGCACTGCTAGACACTTATTTATGCGAATCCTCGTGCTGGTAAACATACTGCGCCATGTTGAGTACATAAAGAGCAGTGCTACAGCCTTTTTTCCCTTGTACCTTTCAAGTGAACGACAAACGCTGAGTGACGAGAACACAACCGACCCGGGAAACTTGGAGAAAAGCTTCGATTCTGTGTATCAATCCCTGAATCCCAAAAGATCATGTGCTTCCCGATCCTCTCGGATCTATAAACGGGCACTTTTTAGTTTGTTGATGCAGGCTACCACGAAAATGCCATGGCGACCGCCAGTAGCGGTATTTTAAAAGGACATGTCAAAAAATTACAGTGCAAATCAAGTAAATTGCATATTACTGCCTTCTAAGTAACTATACAGTATGAAGAACCATTCTGGCCGGACCGCATGCAGCTTTACGGTCCAGCCAAGAGGACGAATGAGGTAAGTCCGTGCGAAGATAAATGACAGATGAAAAAACCTACGGAACTAACATGAGACACGGTCGGCTAGAAACAGCCATTGATGTTTGAGTTTGTATCCATTGGAATTTCTCCCCCGGTTCCAGATCGTTAGTTATTAATGTTACTTCATTATGCGTTGGATGGATAACTTTTTGTATAAGAAAATACGCCAAGTGGTCGTGAATCACGCTTTGTCTGAATTGAATTCAAAGTTGAGACTCGTTGTTTTCAGTTCGTAGGCCGCCGACAATTCTCTACTGATTCTGAAGGGGAGTACAATAAAGTAAACAAGCTTTGTTCTTTCCAATTTTCAAAGTATTTCTACGTCTTCCCAAAAAATCCAATCTATCAGGAATTGTATTGCATGTTTGGAGTGAGCAGAGAAATTGAAAACTAGGTGGAAGGACAGAATTATATTCCAATGGATTTTTATTACTGAGAACAAGCTTCCACCTGTTTGAGTTAATGTGTAATCACATATAATACTCAGACTTTGAATTGACGGGGTTGAAATGGCATTCTCTTAGCAATGATGTGACTGCGGTATGAGCACCTGACTCCTTCAAGAATTGCAGTACTCTTAGAGCTACACTTTCAGTGTTGATTTTCAAACAGTTGAAGGACGGGTGTCATCCGACACCTTGTCTGAAATGCTATGAGCGCTACGCCAAAGTTTGAAATATGACGTAAAAAAGAAGGGGAATACAGGACTTGTGCACGAAAACAATTTGTTCACATCAATTATTTGCGATGGCTGTCCGATCCCCGCACTGAATATCCCTGTCAAAATATAGAAGTAACTCCACCTCTCGCATAGGACCCAGGGTAAATCTTCAGCAACTACCGTGATGGCGTACACCCTAATCTGATTTTGATACCCCAACCAGCATCTGTTAAAAAGTGCTCCTATCAGGTGGTACAACGAAGGTTGGGGTTCCGTTAACTCCTACTTCCTGTGCAACAGGGTCTTTTAACTTACTAAAAGAATAAGGTGTGAATGAGTAGTTAAAAGCAGTGCTCTATCCAAAATATATGCCTCCTGCAACCAGGTTAATTCTCTTTCCCACAGGAAACGTTCTGCGGTAGATGTAGGTTGTACTGTAATTCACACATTGCTTCAGTTTCCTTATGCAAGGCAGGAAAAACAGAAGAGCGGACTTTGTTCTTCAGAAGCCTAAAGCCAATGGCTTAAATTGCCTTCTAGTGTAGTTTGTTTGTCAAGTAATCAATCCAGTATCGAAGAAGAATGTCAAAGAAGCAAAGTGATCCAAAATTTGAGGGGAGGGCCCCTCATTTAGTTTTTTTCACTTTTTCTCGGGTAGGCTGTTTCCTCCCAATCAATTTGTTATTTTATTGTGGAATTTCTAGGTGAGTCATCTTCCAACCCACTTCACAACCTTGGAAACAGGCAGCAAATCTAATGCTACCGTATTTTAGGTTCAGGAGTGTTGGAAAACAACGCTTTTCATGTATTTGAAGGTCCCCTTCGAAGAAGATAGCCCAGGTAATAGCCGTAAATTTCAGGTAGGACAAAAACATCTTTTATAGAAGTTGAAATAAAAGAGGAATTCTGGTCTTTGTGAGCTTCATTCCGATCATTGTCACCAACAACAAACGATAATTATGTTTGAATTATACTGTTGTTTTTATTGTCAGCTGCTCTGTCTCCATTACGCTCCTACCCACGGTCATGATTCACTAAACTTTGTGTTAACACGTTGCTGGTAGATGTCGTTTACAAATATCCTGCTTATAATAATGGAGAATGTCCCCAGAGCTCTTGACCATACTGCTACGGACTAGCTCCTGGGTAGCGAAGATACTACCTCTGTCTATTTCGTAATGCTGTAAGAACGGATTCAGAGCGTCTGATCGACCGTCGTGGGGTCCAATTCTTCCATTTTTCAGTGCCAGTGATGGAGTCGCAAAAGATGCAAAATCACGAATGAAAAGAGTCTAAGGAATTCTACAGTGCCGTTGATCCAATTCTCAGCAATAAGCATGGATACTTTGAGGAGTGACAGAAAAGCATCATGTGGTATTTTTCCCGTTTTTTTCCTATGGGAGCTTCGTTATGCTGATTCGGTGACTACTACCATTGGTACCCGGTGCCAAAAATGGTCACGTCTGGTTTCCACTAAAAACAATCACCATAAGGGTACTTGACACATTCTCAGTGGCTTATAAAAGCGGCTTAAACAAGGTACTACATGGAACAAGAATCGTTTGCGCTTCTGATTTGCCACACGAGCCTAACTAGAGGACGCATATTAGGAAGGTTTAATCCAAATACACAGCCTGAAAAAAGCGAAAAAATATCGACTGTCGCTATTGAAAAGAAAGTGGTTCACCTATAACTACAATCTAGGATCGATTTTCTAGCGCCATGCAAAAATCAGCAAGTGCGTCGGACGACAAAACCAGGAAAAATCTTGTCTACTTCGGCTCCAAACTTCAACAAACCGATCTTGCTGCAGCTCATTCCGTCTTTCAATTTACTTTCCACCATGATGACTCTGACATCAGTAAAACAAAGCGCTGTGTCTCAAAAGAACATCCGAACACATCAAAATATTTTACACACCCCATGAAATAACAGCTAGCTAAAGGATAGACTAGAGCCGAAACCCGGTATCATCAACTGGAAGACATCCGCCTGCCACAGATCATTTTGTTGTTTGGAGACAAGTATTCACCCGTCTTGTGAGCAACTAAATAGCCCAAGTTTCAGCATTCCATGAGAAAATATCGATTGAGCTGAGATACTCGATTTCACATGCACAAAAGTGACTGATTAGGCATACCCGCCCACCCCAGCACCAATATCTGACTAATCCTCCTTCCCTCTGAAAGTACTACGTGCTTTCTATTGTTGCTGCCATACGGCAGACCCGTGTATGTATGTTTTATGTAGGCGACTGATGAAATAGTGAAGTGTTAGACTGAAAGTTTTGATGAAAATGGTTATGATGTTCGCCCTCTGGAATAACCCATTTTTATTTCAATGCAGCATCCGAAGACAAGGACCCGAACCACGCATATTATCGCCGATGACCAGGGACATTTGCTTCCGAACCAGAAAACGGCCCCTGGGGACTGCCCATGGGGGAACTATGTAGGAACGTGGGATCTTCCTTGTCACTTATATGGATACAAAGTTTACAATCCATGTGCTCGATCAAAAGAAGGGATGGAATATCTTCAACACAAGAAGGAACTAGTGGATGCGGCAATCGAACTGGCGAAAGCGAACAAAAGTGAATCGGTAAAGAAAAGGGTACGTTCTGGTTTTTGAGGGTTCGACGTCACTTGAGGCATGCCTTCCAATCTGATGATGTCCATTCAGGTATCACAATTTGGGCGAAAAGCAATCATAAGAATACCGTTCAAGTTCAGTTTTGCCCACTGAATGTAAATGATAGATAACTAGTCAGCTGTAACACCCTTTGGGTGCCTAGCTGTCACGCCACGCGAAGGAAACACGAGGGCTGGTATACTGCCAGGTTGCCCAAGCCTACCTACCATGCCACCTAAGTGAAGCACGAGGGATGGGATGCTGTCTGGTTGTCCAAGCCTAGACAGAGAAAATCGAGAGACAGAGGTCGGGTTCGAACAACGGACTAAGTCATCTCGCCTCCTGAGAGCAGTCATGCTCGAGATCAAATATTTGTGTGGCTGATGGTTAATCTGAACAGCTCAGACCTTCAGACGACCAAATCTTGAGAGATGGGACTTTATTGTCCCCAAAAAGGACTTAATTCAGTCGGACAAAAGGGACACTGCTGAGTTACAGTAAGGATTCTAACTATTCCTGTGGGGTTTGCCGTGTAGCAGAATATTAATAAAACCAGGGAAATGTCCACCTCCGATTTTTTTCGCTCACCCTTGAAAGCGGAGTATTTTGGCCCACAACGTTCCTTCGGGCATTGAGACTAGTCAACCTTTGTCTAATCATAGTCCAGTATCATCATCATCATCATCATCATATCATCAATGACATCAGTGCTCAACACCAATGCTTCACTGCCGTACAGCCATGACTTATTTGAAAGCCTTATTGTAAAGAAAAGAATAAAGGTGG